CAGGGCGAGGCGTGGCTGCCCATGTCCCCTCGCCTTTAGGCAGTCTCTTTCGGGCGATGGAAGCTCCCCAAATGCAGTCACCAGCCACTTCGATCGGCTGGAAGAAGCGGCCTCAGGGCGAGCGCACACACACACTCCCCTCCCCCCGAGGCCGCTTCTACCGGCCTCGTGGCGAGGGGAGTGTGTGTGTGTGTGTGCATTATCTTTTGAAGTCTGCAATTCCTTACCCTGCCCTGTCTCGTTAATTGCTGCAACGTGGTTTGTGTTGGTTTTTATTTATAATCTATATGTACTTTGGGTTCGGACGGAATTTCTTCCCTTTAAAAACTGTTCTTGGGAGAGTTTTTTTTCCCCTCCTCTTTAGGATCTCTTTTCAGAGCATGAGACCATTGTCTCTTGAGACTGATTACCAATTCATTAGTATAAAGTGAAGAGTGGAGAATTAACACTAATGTAATGAATAAGGCTGTAAATTTTAATTGTTATTGCACAGGAAACTTGTACCCCGACGACACACTGTTTAATGGAAGGTGGATTGTCTGAATTAAAAAAATAAAAAAAATTACTAAAAAGAAAAAAGAAAGAGGGGTGAGAAGGGAGGGGTAAGTACAGGCCAGGGGGAGAACATCATTTTGAAACCTCTTCAGGTTACGCCCTGGTCAGGTAAACAAGTCTATGCAGAAATACCCAGGTGCCTGCACGGGCGTGGCCCTGTCAAGGTGTTTGTTTGACAAGTGTGGAAAAAGAACTGAGCAGTCCTGCCCCACCTGCAGCCTTTCTCCCCGGCGCTCTAAAACCATTTAGTCAACAAATAAAACTCCCACACATCACCAGCAAAGACAGGCCGTCCTTGACTTATGACGGAGACTTCCATTGTTAAATGTTGCATTCTACCATCCAGGTGAAACACTCAACTCTCAAACAGCCCTCAACTCTCTCACCCACTGACAGGACACTAGCCAGATGAATACCGATGGATGCTGGGAGGCAGAGGCAGAATTTCTCCCCCTCCCCTTATTTCCATCCCCCCCCCCAAAACTAGGCCCGATTACATAGTTTCGTAGCGAAAGACGGGTATCGAGCTGGTTTAAAATATTAAGGTTAGGAACTGTGTGGGATTTTGAGATATACTTCTGGGATTGATTAAATATTACTAATACTTGGCGTCATTATTAACCCTGCACATTTCGAATATTGATGTTATGGCAGAACAATGAATAATTCTCAAAAAAATATGGAAGAATAGTATTCAGAGACTACAAATATAGAGTCGCAAAGAAATGTTATGCATGTTTAAATGAATTAATGGGAAAATGAGAAATCAGCATTGTTGAAGTTGTGGAAGATTAGAATGATACATACCTATCTGTATTATCATTACTGTTATTGTTGCTTAAGAAATATGTGACCCAGTCAATGCAACCTCCACAAAATATGTATGTTTATATTGAAAAATAAAATAGGGGACTGGAGGCTAAAACATACCAAGAATGGTTGCAGGAACTGGGCCTGGCTAGTCTAGGGAAGAGAAGGACCAGAGGAGACAGGATAGCATCTTCCAATATTTGAAGGGCTGCCCCAGAGAGTAGGAAGGGGTCAAGCTATTTTCCAAAGCACCTGAAGGCCAGACAAGGAATAATGGATGAAAACTGAACAAGGAGAGATTCAACCTGGAAATAAGGAGAAACTTTCTGACAGTGAGAACAATCCACCAATGGAACAGAAGTTGCCCTCAGAAATTGTGGGAACTTCATCACTGGAAGCTTTCAAGAAGAGATTGGACTCCCATCTGTCAGAAATGGTGTAGGATCTCCCGCGTGGGCAGCAGGTTGGACTAGATGACCTACAAGGTCCCTTCCAACTCTAATTATCTGTTAAAATCTGTTAAAAAACTTATTTGGAAAAAAAACAAAAAAGAAATTTTGAGCTCTATTGTGGTCATAAGTTGAAGATACACCTGTACAAATAACCGCGCTGCAATCTAAAGAAGTTGGAACATCCATCGACTTCAGGACATCGCCCAACCTGGCTGGAAAATTCCAGAAATGCTGGGCTGGCACTTGTTGGAAACAAAACAACAAAATCCAGCTAGCGTAAACTTACATTCGACAATGTGAACGTTAGCTTAGTAAATTTATACGGGGTTGGCGGGGTTTTTGGAACAAAAGATTCTAGGCTGCCGTATCAATTGGATTACCATCACCTGCCTTGCAGCCCAGATCAGATGACAAAATCCCTTACAAGGTGTAAAAGAAAGCAGGGCTGATTAATTCGTTGGTTTGAGATGCTTTCCATCTTTTGTGTCTTTGGAGACACCCCTGGGGCAGGCAATCAAAGTTCAAAACGTCCTCAAAGATCCATCTCATCCTGCGTACCCCCTTTTTTTTTTTGAACTATTACCATCTGGCAGACGGTACCGGGCAATAATAACAAGGACAAATAGGCTGAAAAACAGCTTCTATCCCAGGGCAGTGAATTCTACTGTATAGTGCAGGGGGTCTTCAAACTTGACAGCTTTAAGACTTTAGAGACTTCAACTCCCAGAATTCCTGAGCTAACGTGACCTTAGGAGGAATTCTGGGAGTTGAAGTCCCTAAGTCTTAAACGTGCCAAATTTGAAGACCCTTGGTATATGTTAGGAATAACATAGGTTACCTAACGTAGTTTGGGTAAAATAATATATATAGACTATGATAGTGAGTTTAAGTGTGTGTCACTTTAAACTGCAAAGCATGTAATTTTGGGTGCGGCTGTAAATCGCCATAAGAGGGAGCAAGAGAACTTGATTGATTGCTGGCTTACTGGATTGCTTGCTGATGATGATGGATTGTTAACTGTATGTTCTCTGCTGTTGCTGAAGGAAGAAAAGAGGTTTGACTTCTTCATATCTTTACTGCGAAGAGATATATTACTGGACTGATATTTGTAAGTTTAATGACCTATTTTTCGACACTGGACTTTGCAACTGATTAATCCCCGGACGGACTGAACTAGTGTATGATGTATGGACTGTTTGACTATGCTATAAATCTTGCTGGAATAAACTATTTAACTAGCACATTGTATCTGTTTTACTGAGTGTAAACTACAACAACGTTTATCTCACATATTTGCCTGCCTGCCTGACTGCCGTGCAGGTTCTGCTAGGGTGTATATCCCTAACAGTATAGTGCAATATTAATGCAATACCAGGGATTTTCAATTCAATGTATAGAAGGCGAAGGAGGTGCGTTTGTGTTTATTTTCATAGTCATAATGTACACTGAAGATGGCGTTTAATTTCATTGCATGAGGTGCAAGGACAATAAAGTAAAGTAAAGTGTAAAGTAAAGTAAAGTGTAAAGTAAACAATCCCAGAGGAAGATTTTTGCATCTCAGTCCAACCACCCGTTGAGCCGTTGATCTACCCACAAAAAAAGAAGAATGGAAATTGCACCCTCTCCGTTGCTCACCTTTGAGGTCGCCGTTGAGGTTCACCAGAAGAGGGCTGTTCTTCCAGTCAAAGGTAGCCAGCAGGTGAAGGAAGCGAAGGAAGCCCACCTGGGGAGAGCTGGGAAAAGAAGGAAAACAATTGCAAGCAGATGAGAAGTATTATATATCTCAAGAACCAGGTGGAACAAAGCCACCCACAGCAGAGAAGGGAGGAAAAAACAAAAAACAAAAGTTTGGGGCTGCAAGTAGAAAAGCAAACACACAAATCACAAGTCACCCATCAGAATAGAGCCGGAAGGGATCTCGGACGTCTTCTAGCCCAACCCCCTGCTCAAGCAGGAGACGCGATATCCATGATGGCGGACCTCTACCGCACAGGCAAGCGTGCCTCCTGCCGGCCAGCCGACTTTCGGGGCGCATGCGGGAGATGCGTGCGCATGCGTGGGGGGAGGGGGAGCACAGGAGGGGTGTGGCATGCCCCCCCTCCCCGGCACTCCGTTTTGGGCCTAGTAGGCCTCCCTGCAGCCAGGTTTTGCTTCCAGGAGGCTGTGGGGGGGGGGTCGTGGGGAGAGGGGTCGCATCCGCATTGCTTTATGGGTGCCGGCATGCAGTTAGCCATCACTGCCCTATACCATGTCAGACAGGTGGCTGTCCAGTCTTTTCTTGAAAACCTTCAGTGATGGGAGCAGCCACAACTTCTGGAGACAAGCCATTGCACTATTCACAGAATAACAGAGTTGGAAGGGACCTTGAAGGTCTTCTACTCCAACCCCTTGTTCACGCAGGAGACCCTATACCATTTCAGACAAGTGGCTGTCCAGTCCTTTCATGAAAACCTCCAGTGATGGGAGCAGCCACAGCTTCTGGAGACAAGCCATTGCACTATTCACAGAATAACAGAGTTGGAAGGGACCTTGAAGGTCTTCTAGTCCAACCCCTTGTTCACGCAGGAGACCCTATACCATTTCAGACAAGTGGCTGTCCAGTCTTTTCTTGAAAACCTCCAGTGTTGGAGCAGCCACAACCTCTAGAGGCAAGTAGTTCCACTGGTTAATTGTTCTGTTAGGAAATTTCTTCTTAATTCCAGGTTGCTTTTCTCCTTGATTAATTTCCACCTGTTGCTTCTAGTCCTGCCTTCAGGTGCTTTGAGAAATAATTTGACACCCACCCCCCTCTTCTTTGGGGCAGCCCCTCAAATGCTGGAATACTGTTTAGTCCTTCTTTTCTCTTGACTAGCCAAACCCAGATCCTGCAACCGTTCTTCGCTATGTTTTAGTCTCCAGGCCTTTGATCATTTTAGTTGCTCTTCTCTGCACTTTTTTTTTCTACAAGGGAAAATTGATTTATTCAGAAGTTTAGCAGACTTAACTTCTACTGTACTTATTTCCTGGTTAAGTATCGTGAATTTGCAATCCAAAGAATCCAAAAAGGGGCTATTAGTCCCTTGTCCTGCTAACAAGTTTTTATAAAAAGGCCAAAGCTCATAAGGTTGTGTTTTTTTAATCAAATTTAATCAAATTTTACAACATGGAAGCAAAAGTTGGGACTTTTAATAAGTTCTTTGTGAGGCAGATTTGCTGGACAGTGATGGCTCAGGCATTCTGGGAGTTGAAGTC